TTAAGACTAATCAGCAGTGGTAGAAGATTTGGAAAAATACACTTGTATATAAGCACAGCCTTTATATGTCTGACCCCCAATCCAGAATGTTCATCTTCTATTTCTAAAACTCTCACTTCAGTCTTACAGGAAGCACCTCCCAACCTCCATCACTTTCCTTCTCTTGATTGTCAGATTCTCCATGTAAAGGGTGGAACCTGAGGCTCAAGAATTGCTTAACTAAAAAACACTATCTCCCAAACAATTTAGAGTCAGAAAGATAGAGATAGAGATAGACAGGCAGGCAGACACATAGATTAGGTTTTCAGATTCTGCTCTTTCTTTGTGGGAGAGGTCAGCATGCCATGACTACTAACTTGGTCTAGAACCCACAGCAGCCATAGTTACCAAGACCACAGCAGTAAATCTGTGTTTATAAAGCATTGCCATGTTCCTGGCACTGTGCTAAACTCTTTGTGTGCCTCCTCTCATCATCCCACATTAGGTAGATAGGTACAATTATGTGGGACTCAAAAGCAACGAAATAATACAACTGGCTTTCCCCCCTTAAAAACTATGTGTGCCTCAGCTGAAGAGACAAAAAAAAAAAAATGCGCGTAAAAATCCTTATTTTCTGTACAACTTAAGATTTTTGTATGTTTTCTGCGCATTTAGTCTCATCAAATACGATCTATTTTTCATTCCTTTTATGAACCTCTGGTGGGTAAAAATGCTAAAGTCACCTATATAATTGGTTGCACTGGTAGTTAAATGGAACCTAATTTGTAGCATGGGCATTTAACAAATACAGATAATTTATTCATTAGAATTAGCCTTTGGGGGAAACGTCAACTTATAAAAATACATTTTAGTGAGATTATAGCAGAGGGATTTTGCTTTAATATATCCTAATTCTAAAATGGTTGTTAGGGGTGTTTTTTGGTTATATTTGTTAGGTTATAGAAAAGCCGGACTAGCAAGTTTAGTAAGTGGCTATCTTTGGCGTTTGTTCATTTTTAACTTTTTTGATTATCCATTAGGAAACAATTGATTTTCTAAGAGTGTAAACTTTTGCGTATGTTTATAGCCTCTTACCTGTAAAAACTGATCAGAGCTTAGAACCATGCCTGGCACACAATAGTCATTCAATAATTGTTCGTTGAGGTAAGAGACAGTATCGTGTGGTCTGTGAAATAACAAAAGTTCAGGAGCAGCAGATAGTTGGTGATTCTAGTCACCTCTATTTTGTTATAGGATAACTGATTTTCTCTGAGTTTTACACCAAACTTCCTTCTTCTTTTAATACGGCTTAATTCTTACTTAGTGCTTTGTTCATGATCATTTTCCAAAACTTCCTAATGTACATAGTGTTTCATTTTCTGTCTGTTCTTAAACCTGATATGTTGGAGTTTAATCCATCAAACCTTTATTGTTAACCTACTATGTATATTTTGTTACACCTAGGAGCAAAGATGAGAAAACCTGTTACTCATATAATTTGTATTTGCATAGAAGAATGGATATAAACCAACATCGTAGTATAGTAACAGTTTAATATATGAGCTAATGTATGCATACAACAGGAGCCCAGCTAAATAATTTTTAATTTTAATTTTAGAGCTTTAAATTTTATAAAAAGGAAGCTTCTTATAAACTGTCCCAAACCCCAGGTTTTTTATGTACTCCTAATTGAGTGGAGGGATGGCCCGTCAAAATGTCCCATGGAAGACATATAATGTCAGAAGTTATCAAGTGACTCTGATATGCTCTGCCTCGCCTATCCTCCCCACTCCTCAGTTGGGAACTACTGGTGAATAGGAAATGAACATAGGACAGCCATCCCTCCTTATTCCCTGGGATTGGCTCCAGGACCCACTCAGATACCAAAATTTCTAGATGCGCAAGTCTCTGATACAAAATGGTATAGTGTCTGCATATAACCTACACACATCGTCCTGTATACTTTAGATCATCTCTAGGTGACTTACAATATCTAATACAGTGTGAGCGCTTATAAATAGTTCTTATGGCTAGGTGCCGTGGCTCATTGGGAGGTGGAGGCAGGAAGATCCCTTGAATCCAGGAATTCGAGACTAGCTGGGCAACATGGTGAAACCCTGTCTCTACAAAAAATTAAAAATTAGCCAGGCATGGTGGCACACCTATAGTCCTAGCTACTCAGGAGGCTGAGATGGGAGGATTGATTGAGTCCAGGAGGTTGAGGCTGCAGTAAGCAATGATTGTGCCACTGCACGCCAGCCTGGGCAACAGAATGAGACCCTGTCTCAAAAAAAAAAAAGTTGTCATACTTTATTTTTTAAATTTGTCTTTATTTTTATCATTGTTTTATTTATTTATTTTAGAGATAGAGTCTTACTGTGTCACCCAGGCTGGAGTGTAGTGGCTCTATCACGACTCACTGAAGCCTCAAACTCCTGAGCTCAAGGGATCCTCCCACGTCAGCCTCCTAAGCAGCTGAGATTACAGGTGCACACCACCAAGCTCAGCTAATTATTTTTATTTTTGTGGAGACGGAGTCTCTCTCTGTTGCCCAGGCTGGTCTCAAATTCCTGGCCTCAAGCAGTCCTTTCATTTTGGCCTCCCAAAGTGCTGGGCTAACAGGTTTGAGCCACCGTGCCCAGCCCATATTATTTTTATTGGTTCTTTTTTCCAAATATTTTCAATCCACAGTTGGTTGAGTCTGCAGATGTGGAACCTGCGGATATGGAGGGCCAACTGTATAAGAAATTCTAACTGAGCAAAGTGGTCAGGAGGTTCACAGAGGATTTTGAAGGAATATGCTATTTGGAGTTTTCATTTTATTTCAAAATATAGTAGACAAGAACTTAATATGTGCCAGAAATTGTACTAAGTGCTAAGGACACAATAATGAACAAGATTCCTGCCTTTGTGGAGATTATATGGCAAGGGAGGAAAGAAAACATTATAGATTAATTCCTGTGATCAGTGCTGTGAAATGAGGTCATATCCTGAGGGACCCAGATGAGCCTAGCGTCAGGGGTTGGGGTCACCAGTAGAGAAGAATATGAACAACCATCAGCCTTGGTGGAACAACATAGAAAGAAAATGGGGAAGAGTGAGTAGGGAAACAAAATTTTTTACCAAAACCTGCCAATTTAAAGGTTTCTATATGAAGGGGCCATGTACCAAGGATTTATTTTCTAAAAGTATCTAAATATAGGCTAATTTAATTAAAAGGAATCCAACTGAGAGGTAACATTTTCTTCCTCTCTGACTCCCAAGTCTGGTCTTTAAGGAGGCCCCTAAAAAACAATAGTTGTATTGGTGATAAAGTTTATTTAGGGTCAACTGAAATGAATTTATGAATTTGAGACTCAAGGGTATGTGTCAGTTTCTTCTTGCGAAAATCCAAGGTAATATTCACTGAATACTCAAATGGGAACATTGTCATGTGCTGTCAGGTCTCATGGTAGAAATGCTACCCTTAGCATAATAACATATAAGAGAACCATGTCTGGCTGGGCGTGGTGGTTCACGCCTGTAATCCCAGCACTTTGGGAGACTGAGGTGGGCAGATCACTTGAGGTCAGAAGTTTGAAACTAGCCTGGACAACACGGTGAACCCCTATCTCTACTAAAAATATAAAAATTAGCAGAGCTAATAAAAATTAGAACCATCTCTCTGTTCTGGGATTCAGCAACCTTTTTTTTTTTTTTTTTTTTGAGGCAGAGTTTTACTCTGTCACCCAGGCTGGAGTGCAGTGGCGCAATCTTGGCTCACTACAACCTCCACCTCCTGGGTTCAAGCTATTCTCCTGTCTCAGCCTCCCAAGTAGTTGGGATTACAGGTGCATACCACCACACCAGGCTAACTTTTGTATTTTTAGTAGAGTCAGGTTTCACCACGTTGGCCAGGCTAGTCTCAATTTCTGAAGCCTCAGGTGATCTGCCCACCGCAGCCTCCCAAAGTGCTGGGATTACAGGCTTGAGCCACTGCACCTGGCCTCAGCAACCATTGACTGAGCACCACTGACTGCTAGGGACATAAACGAATATGACAGTCTCTGCGCTCAAAGAGTATGTAACCTAGGGAAGCCAACCACCATAAAAACACACAGCTGTGATACAACATGGTGAGTATAAGAGCAGAGCTGGGTACCAGACATGGTGGCCAGGTACCCTTATTACGGGAAACAGCCCAAAGTGTACCCCCAAAGAAACATGATTCAAAATAATATTTTGTTGAACATATTGGTAAGAAGGAAAAATACATATCTGAGATGAAAAGTTATAGATTATTTTTTCTCCAACTAGTCCCCACTAACCCCTCTTACGTGTTCGTCATTGCTTTTCTTTCTTTCATCATCATCTTTCACACTTCCTCACCCCACAGGCAGCCAGATGGTAAGGATATTGTCTTTCTGACAAACATTATTAAGTGGTAACTCTGGAGAGCTGGAGGATAACTGTGGCTTCTCTCTTACATGTAAACACTGGGCTAGTAAAATGTAATAAGGCACCATCCGTATTTCTTTTTAACAGGGACAAACAGATCGTACAAACTCCCTGAGAACAAATCCTATGTCTGTACAACTTTGAATTCTGCACAGCTCCTTACTTTAATTTACGAAACGTGTTGATCCTTGTAGCGCCTGACCTTAGATCAAGTGCTGGGGATACAAAGAATGTGACCTTGGAATTGGGTATTGAGGGATGAGTAGGAGTTGGTTCTCAATTATTTTATGTCCCAGTCAACATACTTTCCTCTCTTTGCTAAACTCTTGAGAATTCTTTTGCTTTCTCAGCAAGATTATGCATTAACTTTTAAAAATTAAAGTGAACAGTTTAATTTTTGCTGATGGTCTGCGCTACTTTTGTGAAATAAAAACATGATCAAAGTGGTAGAGGGAAACCAGAACTCAAGAGCGGTGGAGGAGGAGGGGTTTCTACTGTGTGGGAACAAGGGCTGGGAGAGCATGGTGTGTGTTTGGAGCAGTAGTGATCCAATGATTCATCCTGTCATTCCTCTTCCTCTATAGCCATCAGGTTTGGGCGGATGCCACAGGCTGAGAAGGAGAAGCTGTTGGCGGAGATCTCCAGTGATATCGACCAGCTGAACCCAGAGTCCGCTGACCTCCGGGCCCTGGCAAAACATTTGTATGACTCATACATAAAGTCCTTCCCGCTGACCAAAGCAAAGGCGAGGGCGATCTTGACAGGAAAGACAACAGACAAATCAGTTAGTTCTCTTCTGCTGTCTTCATTGGGGGAGGTGGGGAGTTGTTTTGGTTTTTTTTTCCTTTGGGTAAATGGTTTACAGCAAAAAAATGCACATGCAGAATATTGTTCAACTGTTGGCTGTTAACATATTACAGGCTGAGTCTGAAATGCAGGAAGTGTTTTCAGATAGCATAAGTAAACATTATTTTGAAGAGAGAGAAAAGTCCTCCGAGTTCTAATAAAGTTTTGGGGAATAATGTAAGAATGTATTGGTCATCCTACCTTTAATGAATGAACTTAAGCCCCCTCAGCCTATCACCCTCTTTTAGGATCCATCTCTTTTCTCATTAAAAAAATAACTGGCCACAGCAATATTCATTCAAGCAGCCTTGCTTTTCTCTGGGAAAAGCCCGACCTAGGTTTAGAAAAGATATTCAATCCCACTATTTCACCTTTCAGGAGAACTACCAGAGTTACCTCTTATGAAGTTCAACATGGGGCATAAAAATAGATTCTAGATACTATGTCACCTTTCTTTCCTATAGCATTCTATTGATTATTCTGGGGCAACTGGAAGCTCTATCCTTTTGTTACATATGTGAATTTTATCTTCTACAAGGCTCTGAGCTGCCTGGGCCACTTCAGTGGACTCTCCAACATCTGTTCACTCATTGAGCAGCACCATTTAGAAAACCCAGGATGGGTTGTAATTGTTACTGAGTTAGGTTTTCCAAACAGCAGAGTGCTTTCCTGACTGGAAACTGAGAAAACAACATGGAATTATGTTAGAACAAAATTGTACATGAATTCTAGTCCCAACTCTGCCATCAGCTTGGACCGTGGCCTGGATCATGTCTGTGTTCCTCAGTTTTGTTTGTTTGTTTGTTTGTTTGAGATGGAGTCTCCCTCTGTCACCCAGGCTGGAGTGCAGTGGTACGATCTTGGCTCACTGCAACCTCCGCCTCCCGGGTTCAAACGATTCTCCTGCCTCAGCCTCCCAAGTGGCTGGGACTACAGGCGTGCACCACCACACCTAGCTAATTATTTTGTATTTTTAATAGAGATGGGGTCTCACCATATTAGCCAAGATGGTCTTGATCTCCTGACTTCGGATCTGCCCCCCTCAGCCTCCAAAAGTGCTGGGATTACAGGTGTGAGCCACCATGCCTGGCCTGTACCTCAGTTATTAATGACAGGGTTTGGTTTTGATTCTGATGTCTGCACAATGCTCCTAGGGCAGTAAGAACTGCAGAACACATTCAGAAGACACTGTCCTAGCCATGGAAAGCCCTCGTATACAGTCATTTATTTTCACGTGAACACTTCCCAGAGAGCTATACAATTACTTGATAGATATGTTTAACTTTTCCCCATTAAGATATATTGTTGGGAAAATCTCATTACCCTTTCATGCATTTTGATGACTATCTCAAGATAGTACTTCTTCTGTTTAGCTATACCATTTAGTGGGAGTAGAATCAGTTGATAGAAAAAGAAAACTTATGGCATAGAGCCATATGCCAATAAGGACAATGACTTTTCTGATTTGCAAAGGGGTCTTTGATGTCTCAATAATAATATACCTAGATCCAATTCTTTACAGTATAAAAAAACCTTGCGCGTTTATTAGATTCGAGCCACATGGCCACCTGACCACTGCTATTATCCTCTTTATTTTAGAGATGAGGAAAATAAAGTCCTGAGAGGTTAAACATTTTGCCCTAAGATCTTACAGCAAGTGTGTGGAAGACCTGGAACTCTAATACAGGTTTTCTGACCTCTAGTTGAGAGCATTTGTAGCATGCTAGCCCCTCAGCACCACAGTACTTGAGGAAACTAGTCGTTCCAACTTGCTGGCCGTGAGAAAACTTTCTAAGTATGATTTTTTTCCCTCATTTTTAGAGCAGTAGGAATTCTTCACCTCATCTGCTATCCCAACATTTTCACAATTGGAAAATTTTTGTGCTGTTTTGATTCTTTTCAAATTACAAAAGTGCTTGACTAGGACTACTGGCTTTTACGTGCACAGGACTTATCATAAAGCTCATTCGTTCAGGGAGAAACTTGGCCATAGCAAATCAAAAAGAAATGAAGACCTCTACATAGCTGATTGGACTATGGAAAATAAGCCATTCATGCCCAGGAAGAAAAAAATAAAAGGACTGCTGAAAAGGAAAGAGCCCTAAAGCAAACTATTTACAGTTTTGGTTAGGTTTTTATTTTTCTTATTTTTATTTATTTATTTTTGAAATGGGGTCTTGCTTTGTTTCCCAAGCTGGACTGTCTTGTTATATTGTCCAGGCTGACCCTGACCTCCTGGGTTCAAGCAATCCTCCCAAAGAGCTGGTATTACAGGTGTAAGCCACCAGCCATGGTTAGTTTTCATCAACTGCTTTCTTACTTTCTTTTCAACCTCCAATCCATACCTGTAATCCTTATTAGAAATCCTGTCAACTTAATAGTACCAGAAAGTCAGGCAAAACACACACAAAAAAAAGCCTCAGTGGTCAAAAACTTAAAAGTACAACACTGGTGTCCAACCTGCTCTTACCTGTGTTACTAGAGGACACACTCAAGATACCTCACTCCAGTTGACCCCATGGCTCTAAATCTTTGAGTTAAAAAGTAAAATATATGGAGGTTCTTTATGGAATAAGTAAGAATTAAGCTATTTAAAGGAAAGGGCTGCAAAATACTTGATTATGGGCTCAAGTTCAGAGGCCAAGCATTTGTCATTTTCTTCCCTATAGTAACTAGGACTGTCTCTTGCCCCTAAATAGTTACTCAGACTGTATTTGTTTAATTGAATTAAACACGGTTGCCTATGCCCTTTGAAATTCTGGACTTTTAACAGAGGGCCTCTAGCCCAATGTTTACTTACCAAGCTGGACATCACTGATGATCTGGGTTCAGGCAGAATTACCTCTAGTTAGGATCTGGAAAAAGAGAGACTGGGCCAGATTAAAAGAATCCATTCACTGATGACATAAACTGAACTTCAGTTGTTTGGCACCCTCTTTTCTCCTTATCTTGCAAAATCAAATTAAGCGCTAGTGGAAAGAAACAGTTCAGAGAGAAATACAGGAGATAAAAAAAAATCCAAAATGTGATTTCCAATGAGACTAGAGGTTTGTTCTTTATCTGCATGGTCATGCTGTTCATTTGATAGCATCTCTCTCAGGGGTGTTGTGTTATCTCTTGGCCAGGACTCATGAAAGTTAAGATTTGCCTTGATAGGAAAAGTTTTGCAGAAATGTGGACTCTGGAGAGGGTGGGAGGTATACAAAAGTGGCTGTGGCTGTGCAGCAGAGCAATTTGAGTTTCTTACACACCCTGCTTGAGACTGATGTCATTAGTGTTAGTTAGGCCAAGGCTGGGGGAGGCTACTCAGAATAATGGACAACAAGCTACCCAGAACCTTTGGAAAAGGAAATGAGTTGATTGAAGAGGCCATTCTTTAAATGTTTCTTACTGCTCCATTTCATCTTTGCATACTGTAGAATGCTCGCTGCCCTCTCAGCATTTGCCTCCAAGCAGACCGGGACTTCCTTTCTCCAACTATAAACTTCCTTCTCCTGTACCTTATTCCCTAGGGCCACTTGCACCTTTCAAAATGGATACATTAAATGCTCTTGCTCCCCTTCTATCAACTTTAACATCATGCCTTTGGTGTACAATGCCCTGCTTTTCATTGTTTTGCCTAAATAAGAGTTTGCTTGGGAATTTTAAGCTCAGGGCCAGGAAAAGATGGGATATGGAATAATCAGGTACAGATTGCCGGACAGGAAATTTTAGGAGCAATAGACCTTTTTAGCCACCCTCAGTGGGATGGAACTGACTCCCCACTACCTATTTCCCTTTCAGTGGCTAGTCCCAGCCCCTTCTTTAAGAGTTCTTTCTGCACTCTGAAAACCATGTGCATGCCAGAACTAGGTGCTATGTTTCATGAAGGCAGTTTGATAACTGAATGGACTTTGGAAGTGCCCAGTGTTTGACTATTACCATGGTGTGATGATCACACTGGGTGTATCACTGTCACATGATCCCATGCTTGTTGATGAAAATAAACAGAGAGTGGTTTTCAAAAACTATTTTCAGTGCCATAGTTTGTCATAAAACAATAAATAGAAAAACACTTGGTGTGCTTGCCAACTTTTCACCCCCTATCTAAGAGATGGTGAAGTTCTGACTGCACTCTATCTGCAAATAAGGAATAAAACTTTTTATTTGTGCTGTATTGGACTTTGGGTTCCAAAGCATGACATTGTTTGTGGTAGGTACATGTGGAGTCACTGTTTTTATAATTATAAGAGCAAACTGGTGCCATTGGAAAAATGGTCATTCTAAATAGTGTGTGCAATAAAACTAGTGAAGAATAAAATCAATATGGGAATGTAAACTTTTATGAAAACATTTCCTTACCCATTTAAGTTTGTGCATTCTCAAATTTACAATGGCTATCAAACCCAGTGACTCAAAGCTATTGGAAAGATATCTGTCCTTTTAAATCCTACACTTACAGCTAAACAACCTATGGGCTTTTCCCTTTTTCTCTAGAAAAGACTGAGTGAGCTGGAATTTGCTCCCCAAAGGAAAGGTATCAGGCAGAATCCTCGGAGAAAGGGGCTTAGGGACCCCAGTAGAAATAAAATCAGGATAGTAGTGTCCATTCATTTCTGGGGCTGCTGGAGAAGTTAGGCTTCTGGGATCATTCATCCATGTATCAATATTAATAAAATAAATTCTTCTATTGCCAGGACTATCAGGAATAGCTTAAGATATAAAAGATCTGAACCAGTCTGTTCTTTCAGAGAATAAGTTAAAAATAATATTTTATGGAGTTAAGAAAAGCACTTGGATTTTTTTTTTCCCAGTGGCTGGACTCAGTTGGCCAATACCCTTGTTTGCCCTCTGAGTAACTCTTTGGCTGGCAATTGATTTTTTTTCTAAGAGCTGTGGTTATGTGCTAGGTCATTAGAGTGTGAATAAGTCTTCGTATTAAGTTTTCATTTGTTTGTC